TTTTTTTTTTTTTTTTTTTTTTTTTTTTTCCTTAAACGGGCCCAGTGCCCAAGGCTTATATTTCCAACAAACTTGAAATAGAGGTCGAGGTCCTCACAATCTACACGGAAAAGGCTGTGAGCATTACCCAGTTTCGCTTACGGGGTGGGACCACACCCCGAGGGGATCATCCCCCGGATAAGACACAATTACCAATTCCAAGTCCTCAAAACACGAAGGACCTATCCCTACTTCGGGGAGGGGAGCCGCAGCTCCTTTACTCTGCCCTGGTGCTCATTCCAGCCCCTCCTTTTTCTACTGCCCTCCTACTGCGGAGAGATATCGAGCGTCCATGTATTTAGTCTATGCTAACCAACCATTCATCCAACTCCAATTTGGCCTCCTGAATTCTGACCAACTTACCAAGTATAGCCCAGGTTTTTGAAAACCAACCCAGGTCAGCGCCTCTCTGCGCTTCTGTGGTTACCTTCCTTCTCTAGTCGACTCAAATGCTTCTTCTGATATGCAGTTTTGTTGCTGCCTTGATTGAATGGTCAGATAGGAATCTTCCTTAAAAAACGCATTTGTTCCTTACCTTTCAGATGACAAAAAAGAGGCAAGCTCTGATGGCGTGGGCAACGTAGCCCCAACCCTTGTTCAGGGCGAAACCCTCAGGGACACTGCCGAACAAGATCGAACGGTCGTCCCATGGAAAGGCCGGGTCACTAATGTGGGCCCAATGAGTGAGCCACGACATCCAAATTCTCCTGGAAAGGGGGCAGGAGAGCCACAAATGTACTGTTGATTCAAATGGTCAGTGACACCTCTTGCACTCCAAGGATATCTTCATGCCCCTTTCTGCTAACCAAACTGCAGAAGGGGTGGCCAATAGTGATAACAGCCACATGATCGTTGCTGCTCTTTGCATCGGCAATTTCTGCAATTGCTCCCAGCATCATGATAGATCCCGATAGATGATTGTGACTTCTATTGTGGAAACTTGACTCCATCGGCCCGTTGCACACATGATCGGTGATCTTCTTGGTCGTTGTAGTTCATACCCTCCAACTGACGAGTAGTCCGTAAGCCATGCTTCCTTGCATTTTGGTATCGGAGCGGGTTCGATTCACCACTTACCTTGGTGCCCTAGCGTTATACAGACTTGGTGCGTTGATGATGCTTCTTCGCAGTTGGTTCTTATGACGTCAGACCAACATTAGGCGCACGACCTGGGTAGAGAGGTGTGCGCCGGAAGGGTATATGGCATGGGTTGCCATTGTTACTGCGGAATGTATGATTGGTGATGAGAGCATGCTGATGTGGCATGAAGCTGAGGTGGCACTGCATTGCGTTGTGGCTTGTGGGTGGTACCGAGGCTACAACCGGTCATCAAATGCACACTCAACTCAATTGGTGAGAAATCTGTAGTTGGGGCCAACTATCTCCAGGTATCTTGTTCCCTTACCTTATCTACTCTCTCAATCTCTTCTTACCGCGAGGAAGTGAGTCCAACTTGAGAGTCCTCTCGTTTGGTGAGGTGTCGTGTACGTGCTACCTTGAGAGACGACGATCTTCCCGGAAGCATCTGGAAGGAGAAAGGGTGGTGCCTCTGAAGGGCCCTGGTCGAAGCACTTGGGTCACGGTCACCATGCCAACCCAATGGGAGTAGGTCACGCATGTGATGGCTGCTTGTCCATTTTGGCACTTTGCTGCGMTGTAGAAGTCGTGTCGGGTGTGCCAGCCCATAAGAGACGCCTACCAGACCGTCTATAAATACTTCTGGTTGGGGACTTGGTGTTGATACTGGCTGTGATCGTCGTCCAGACTGCGACGTTAAATAATTCCTGAGGAGATGGGGGCTCTCCTTACATCCCTCCTGATCAGCCAGATCAATCCGGTAGTAAAGCTCGTTTCGTACGAGGGTAAATAAGAGTGGATGGGCTGGCTTGCT